GGGATGATTTGTTACACATTCAGCATAGTATTATAAGTTCAACAAGTACAATAAGACAAGACAATGAAATAAAAGGAATAAAGATTGGAAAGGGTAAAAATCTTTGTTCACAAATGACATAAATTTTTATAGCAAAATCATAGGAGTCTATTAAACAACTACTAGAAGTGAGTGAGTTTAGGAAAACAGGAGGCTACAAGAACAAGAGATAAAAGTAAAATGTAGAGTTAAGCATTCTAAATAATTAAATTGAATTAAAAAACCACTTAGAATAATATGAAAAAACATAAAATATTTGTGAATAAACTGAGAAAAATATTTCTATAGTAAAAGCCCCAAAATCACCACTAAGCAAAAAGAATCAAGATCTATATAAATGTTGAGATGTACCAAGTGTTTGGACTAGAAGACATCAATATTCTCTAAATGGAACTGTAGATTTTGTGCAATTTTAATCAAGATCCAAACAGATGTTTTGAAAAAGAACCCATACCACTCAATTTCAAAATTTTCTATAAAGATTTAGTAATCAAAAGTTTTGTATTGGCATAAGATTAGACAATTAGACCAATGGAATAAAATAGTTTAGATAAGAATCCATTAAAATATGCTCACAAAGACTTTTGAATACTATGGCAACATTATTGTAATGAATAATGTAATATTAAAAAATAATGTAATATTAATTACTCAGCATTCAAAAAAGATAAACACATGCAATTTGCAGCAACATGGATGGCGCTGGAAGGGATCATGCTCAGCGAAATAAGCCAAAAAGAAAAAGAAAAATACCGGATGGTCTCACTCATAGCAGGAATCTAGAAAACTTAAATAAGGGACCAGGAAAATGAATAACTATAAGAAAGTGAAAATCAAAATCAACAAAAAACTATGAACCAGAGACACTTTTAGGGGGACGGGGGTGGGAGGGGAGGGATTGGGGTCAGAATGGGGGGGCTGCAATTGTATGGGGAATATAACAATAAAATTTATTAAAAAAAAAAAATAATGTAATATTAAAAAATTTTTAATGTAATATTAAAAAACTGGAACTAATCCAAATGTCTATCAATGGTAGGATGGATAAATATAAAACCTCAGAAGTTTTAAAATGAACTATTGCTGAATCTTAAAAAAGGAAGCAAACACAAAAGATAGAATTAATTCATTTAACTGAAGTTGAAAACAGACACAACTATGCTAACAGTGACAGAAATCAGAACAATGGAAGCCTATGTGTGGTAGGAACTGGCTGGAAGGAGACACAAGAAAACTTTCCAGGGTAACTGGAACATTGTTTTAAAAACTGCTAAACTGCTGCATATACTCATCAAAATTTATTAAACTGTATGTTTAAGATTTTTTCATTAAATTTGGAAAAAAACTCATGAGGACTTCTGTTTCCAAGATGTCATTAGGAGAGTAAAAATGCAAACCAAACAGGGGCAAGATATTTGAATTCATATACCTAACAACAAAACAATGTATCAGAAAATATAAGTTTTAACAACTCAGTAAGAAAAAGACAACCCATGAAAGCATGGGCAAATGATGTGAATGGACTTTTTTTTTTTTAAGGATATCTAAATGCTAAATAAACTTGAAATGGTATCAACATTATTAATATTAGAGAAATACAAATTAAAAGCACAATGAGATAAAGCTGTATATCCACTAGACTGGCCAAAAGTAAACAGACTGACAATGGAAATTATCCACAAGACATGAAACAAATGGAAGCCTCAAACACAGTTCTGTGGAAATGGGTTTGGCATTCCGTAGCAAAGCTAATAAAGCTAAACCTGCTTTAAAATTTCATTTTCATTCATTTCCATGAATATCTAGTGAGGGAAAAGTTCCATCACAGCCAGCATCATTTCCATGTTGGGAGACCAGGTCACTGGAGGACAAGACTGTGGTTAATCAACAGGCCATTCAGTCCTGTATGCCAGTTAGGTGACACCAGTGGCAAGATTTCAAAAGTCAGCTGTTATTTTCGGGATACCCTGGTAGGAATAACACAGCCAATTAAATACTCAGTGGAGAAAAACTTCAGGGTTCACAGGTGATGAAAGAAAAAACAGGAGCGAGATTAAATGCTGGAAAGTTGAACAATGCCAGAATGTGTACTGCAAAATGTCAAAACAAGATTCCATGTCAAAAATACGGATGCACTGTTTAAAAGGAGGTACAATTAGCTTTTATCAAATACATTAAAAAGAGTGAGAATTAAGGAACGCCCTGTATCTGCTACAGGCTACCTGAAGGGAGGCTACGATGTGATGGAAGGCATGCCCAACAACCACACAGCATTCTTTCTACAGAAACACAAGAAACACTGTCACAATAGATAGAAGGCAGCAGCTCTCTCTGCTACCGAATGGAGGATGTGATGCTGTAAAAGCAAGCTCATAAACTCTGCACAAACTTCTGGCCTATACAAAGTAAACTATTTGGAACAGCAGTTGGAGATCTTGAAACTGGAGTATCCTATGGATGCCAGATTATTCTAATCAAACATTATCAAGCAGCCTTCTGAAATTTGGAAACCAAGTTAAAGATTGTAGACTTAACCCTGAGGGCACCCTCAATTTGGGACTCATCAGTTAAAGGTGCTCCATGATGCTTTATAAGCCACAACTGACGGATCTCATGCTTATTCTGTATTAGTTCTATTACTATGTAAGACGAGAATAACCGCAACCCTTCAGGAACTATAATTCTTATGTCATTTACTACAGCAAATCGCATGTTGAAAAAACTCATAAAAATAGAAATCACTACACAGCTAAGATATTTATATTTTATGTATATATATATATAAACACCTATAGTTACTCATTTCTACTACAGAATTTTAAGTTATAATAAAATCTGCTAAATATTTTGAATATTCAGTAAATCTTTTCTTTGCTTGACTAAGGAATTAATTAAGAATAATGTATCCCTAGTTTAGGGAGACAGAGATGACTATGCTATCAACTGCTCTAGAAATTAATCTAGCACAAGGTAGGAAAAAAAAAATCAGCTACTTACAATTCAATATGCTAAGCACGATCTCTCTTATCGGACTGCCTGGTAGGATTAACCAAAACTGTCTGTTCCAGGTCTGATGTCCAGGGCAGGTTAAATGGCCCCATAAGGACGCTTCATTCTAACACGCTCTCATATCTTTGGTTTACAAATTGGACTTTATGCTTTTTATTTTTACTAGGAGTCATCTGAGTTTGTTCCCAAATTATACAATATATGCCACTTGCATTTTCTAGTTCAATTAAAGGTAAATATCATTTAAAACAATGATGTATGAGTAAAAGAGTTCTGGTCCTATGAAAATTAAGTTTAATGTTAAAAGTTAAAATGCTTTGGAAAGATTAAAAAAAAAGTCACTAATACCAAGTCTTATCAAATTAGGTATATGGAAGGTAACTATAAAAAACTACAAAAAAAAAAAAATCAAGGAATCTATACTCAAACTACTTTGCTATCCTAGCCAATATATTATGAGTCCTGGTAATGTCAGCTAAGAGAACACTTGTTGGCTAACTTATATTTAAGCTCAAAGGAAGAAGCAATTAATTCTTGAGGGAGGATGGTAGAATGGGGAGAGAGATCAAAAAAACTTTCTCCATGGCAAGTGACAGAGATTTGTGACTTAAAGGGTTAAAATGTCTAGTAAGACATAAATGATAATAATTACATGCTCATTGTTTAGCTATTTACTTAATTTCATTAATAATAATTAATTAAATATAATATAAATTACATTTATAATTGGCTTAATTGAACTTATTCTCCCATCCCCATAGGAATACAACTATCTTTCTCCATCCCAACTTTACTGATTCTAAAACCCAACAGCCAATAATAATTTCTTTTGACATTTTGAAAGACGTTTAATCTATAGCACAGAAACAACTCATGAGTCATTAGATCTTTTATCTGTGCCACCATAATATGCTCTCTAGAATTATATTGACATAATAACTTTTTTAAAGATTTTTTATTTATTTATGCATATAAGTACTGGGGTGAAATAATAACTCTTTTGAATCTTAAGTACTACAACTAAAAAGTATAGTCATATTGCTCTACCTCTTTCAAGTCCATCAACTGAGGTAGGCAAAATCTTGATAGTGCATATGAAAAGTTTCTTGAAATTCCAGCTCTACTTCTCACTTCTAAGTGAATAGAAAAATAAAGCATAACACTTGCAAAAGCACAATGTGCTCAGTAAGAATACATAAAGAACAGATTGGGTTGTTTAGTTCAGGTTGGGAAATCAAATTGGGTTGTTTCGTTCAGCATTTCACTTACACACACAAATACTTGCAAACCTCACTTTAAAGCATGTGTTCAGAATGAAAGACTATGGGGATGTTAAATCAATAATCATAAAAAGCAGTTTGGCTTCAAACCTAGACCAATGGTATGATGGAGAGTAATATTATCTACAAGTTATATAATCTAAACATGTATTGAATGGTCAATGCCATATTCCTACTTTTATTTATTGATTCATAAAACATAACCTTTCTAAATCCCTTTAAGTGTAGAAAGGTCACAAAGCCCTTTATCAGAGATCATAAACTCTAGCTTAACTAAATTATTAGAAAAAGTTTATACTCACTAAAGTTATTGGTTTCTTTCTGGGATGAATGAGGGGGAAAAGAGTTTAAAAATGAGCAATCTGCAGGGCCAAGGAAGCAGAGTATGATAGGTTGTACTTGGAAGAAAGTTTAAATTGACAGCTTTAGGGAATACTATGCCAACTGAGAGTGTATTTCTCAAGTGGCAAAAACTGGCCCAACAGTGTAATTGCAAAAACAAAAATATGTTCTGGAAAAATAGTATCCTGATTTAAAATGTTTTAAATATAGAAGAACATCTACCTGTTATATGGAGAGGTATATTTGTATGTGTGTATGTGCATATATATATATATAATATGCATTTTAGGCCACAGAGTTATAGTAAGAGTGAGATAAATTACTTCATACCTGGGAGGAGCTGTTGGATAAACAATTTTTATGTGTTGGAAAGTTAAATCTTGATGTAAAACATGCTTGATCCACTTTTTCAATCCTTGTCCAGAATCACCTGATTAATCACAAAATTAGATTAAGATAAAACATTTTGACAATACAGTTTATTTACAAGAAATCTATAACTTTCACATCACACAGAGGCATAAAAAGGATATTCAAAAGTCTCCATATATAAAAATACCTATATAGAAACCAATTTATCAATAAGTAGGAATAATTTTATTTATTCTTGACTGCCATTGATAACTGAAGACATCTTAGTTTTAAGTTTCCTCAATTGTTTAAGGGGAAAAATAGAAACAAGGTAAATTTTGAAAATATTTCTATATCCTATTTCTGTATTTGTCATTTCTTATTATTTATTATTTTAAAAATAATAAATTCCTAAGGTGTTTGTAAACATTTGTAGTTGGAGCAACCTGAAACAACTTTCTTGGTTGAAATTTTTTTATTTTCAAGAAATTAGAATTTAGTTTTGATAACAAGTTTACTTACAGAATTTAATATAACTATAGATCTTTGCATCCGGAACCGGAGGCCAGAGGGGGATCCAGCCACCACTGGGGCAGACTGTGGGCACAGGGAAGTGCCCTCCTGACTCGCCATTTTAGAACTGGTATCTTTGCATCCAGAACCCACCTAGACTCTGTGGAACTGGGAAAGGGCTGCCCCCACAGCCAGAGGTGAGCTGAAAAGCCCCCACAAGCCAGGCCCTGTCTGGCCACCAGTCAGAGCCCAGAGGGGGATCCAGCCACCACTAGGGCAGTCTGAGGGAGCAGGGAAGTGCCTCCCAGATGAGCCATACTCAAGACTGGGAGCTTTGAGTCCTGACCTCACTAAAACTGTGTGGAACTGAGAAAGGGCTATCCCCACAGTAAGAGGTGAACCAAAAAGAATTCACAAGCCAGGCCCCATGTCTGGCCTTGAGTCGGAACTCAGAAAGGGATCCAGCGATTAGGTGCCCAGGGGTGATCCAGCCACCACCAGGACAGTCTGAGGGACCTCAAGACCCACCTCTAGTATTAAATAAATACATAGGGAGTGGATTTCCAGGGACAGCACCCATCAATATATCCTTAGTACTATGCCCTACTGGAATTTTGGTGTAACAGTATTAGACTTGATTGGGCCACCAGTTTCTGACATCCCAGAAGGAGCACACCAAAGAGATGCCGGCCAGTACCAATGACACAGTGTCCCAATGTATAGGACAAATTAGAAAACAAGCAGCAGGAAGAAGAAAAACTACAAGCAACCAAGCAAGTACTCAGGGAAAAGACACACCACAAAAAGAAAATCATCCACCAGATTGCAACAACAGTGATTTGGAAGAACTTCTGAGCCTTCCAGATAGACTCAATGAAATTGAGTCCCTAAAGAGGGAAGTGAAAGAAATGCAGGAGATCAAAGGATTAATGGAGGACCTAAAGAACTCTGGGAAAAGCAGTGAAAGCAGAACAGATGAAATGGAAGAATGAATAAGTATTCTCAAAGACACAGAAATAAAAAGAACCAAAACAGAAAAGGCAAGAGAAATATGAAGAAAAAAGAATGAAGAAAAGATTTTGGGAACTATCTGACTCCATGAGGAAAGGAAATATAAGAGTTACAGGAATCCCAGAAGGAGAGGAGAGAGACATAGAACAGAGAAAATACTCAAGGAGATCATCGAAGAGAACTTCCCAAGCATGAAGAAGGAGCTGAAAACAGATATACAAGAAGCAAGAAGAATACCAAACTTCCATGATGAAAGAAAAAATACAGCAAGACACATAATAGTAAAGCTCCCAAAAATCGTAGACAAGGAAAAAATAATGAAGCTGACAAGAGGGGAGAAACAGGTAACACACAAAGGAAAACCAATCACGCTGACATCAGATTTCTCCGAAGAAACACTACAGGCAAGGAGAGAGTGGAGGGACATAGTCAACAAACTCCAAGAAAACAAATGCCAGCCAAAAATACTCTATCCCACAAAATTTTCCTTCCTATACAAAGAAAGAATAAGGACTTTCCCAGGCAAAAAGAGACTCCAGAATTTCATTACAACTAAACCCCTACTCCAAAAAATACTACAAGGAGTCCTAAAGCCAGAACCAACAAAGGGATGAATAAGGATGAAACAAGAACCCCCCCCCAAAAAAAAAAAATAAATAAAACCAGAGAAAAGACAAACAAAATGGCAAATACAGACACTAACATATCAATATTAACTCTAAATGTAAATGGACTAAACTCTTCAATAAAAAGACACAGAGTAGCAGGCTGGATTAAGAAACAAAACCCAAGCTTTTGCTGTCTCCAGGAAACACAGTTAGCTACAAAAGATAAAAATAGACTCAAAGTTAAAGGATCGAAAACAATCCTACAAGCAAATGGACCAAAAAAGAAGGCAGGAACAGCTATACTTATATCAGATAAAACAGATTTCAAACTCAAAAAGGTAAAAAGAGACCCAGACGGTCACTACATTATGATCAAGGGGACAATACTTCAAAAAGACATAACACTTATTAACATATACTCACCAAATGAGAGAGCACCAAAATATATCAGACAACTATAGTCATCTCTGAAAACAGACATCAGAAAACACATATGTAGTAGGAGACTTCATCACACCACTATCAATAATGGATAGATCAATGAGACAAAAAATAAGTAAGGACACTAAAGCTCTAAATAAGGATCTAGATCTCATTTGCTTACCAGATGTCTATAGAACACTAAACCCCCAAAAAATCTGAGTACACATTTTTCTCAAGTGTACACAGATCATTCTCCAAGATCGATCACATACTGGGACAAACATCAACAGATACACCAAGATTGAAATCACACCAACTATCTTCTCTGATCATGAAGGCATCAAACTAGAAATAAACCATAAAAAGAAGGCAAGGAACCCTCCTACCTCATGGAAATTGAAACCCACACTACTGGAAGACCACTGGACTAATGAGGATATCAAAGAAGAAATTAAAAAATACAGTGAATTGAATGACAAGGTGGACACCAATTTCCTAAATGTATGGGACACAGCAAAAGCAGTAGTAAGAGGAAAATATACAGCAATCCAGGCTCACATCAAGAAACTAGAAAGAACTCAAAGAAACAACCTAATCTCACATCTCAAAGAACTAGAAAAAGAACAACAAAAAACCCCTAAAAACAGCAGAAGAAATAATAAAAATCAAAGCAGAAATAAATGAAATAGAAACTAAAAAAAAAAAAAAAATCCAAAAGATCAATGAAACCAAAGGTTGGTTCTTCAAAAAAAAAAATAAACAAAATAGACAAACCCCTAACCAGGCTCACAAAGGAAAAAACGGGAGAAAGCACAAATAAATAGGATCACAAATGAAAGAGGAGAAATCACAACAGACACAGAAGAAATCAAAAGAATAATCAGAAACTACTATGAACATGTATGTGCAAACAAGCTCAACAATCTAGAAGAGACGGACAAATTCCTAAAATTCTACAATCACCCAAAGCTAGATAAAGAAGAAAGAGAACACCTAAACAGACCAATTACAAGCAGTGAAATCGAAATGGTAATCCAAACCCTCCCCAAAAACAAAAGCCCAGGACCAGATGGATTTGCAAATGATTTCTACGAAACATTCAGAAATGAATTAGTGCTATCCTTCATAAACTCTTTCAAAAAATGGAAAAGGAAGGGATAATACCAAACATGTTCTATGAAGCCAACATTATGCTAATATCAAAACTGAACAAGGACAACACAAAAAAGAAAACTACAGGCCAATCTCTCTAATGAACACTGGTGCAAAAATCCTCAATAAAATTTAGCTATCAGAATCCAACAATGTATCCATAAAATAATTCACCACGACCAAGTAGAATTTATTCCAGGGACACTTGGATGGTTCAACATCCGAAAATCAATCAATGTCATCCAGCACATCAAGAAAAAGAAATATAAAAACCATATGATAATATCAATAGATGCTGAGAAAGCCTTCAACAAAGTACAACACCCATTTATGATAAAGGCCTTGAAATTCTGGGGATACAAGGACCGTACCTCAACATCACACAGGCCATATATGACAAGCCCATAGCCAATATCATTCTCAATGGTGAAAACCTGAAAGCATTTCCATTAAGATCTGGAACAAGACAAGGATGTCCACTCTCACCACTGCTTTTCAATATAATACTGGAAGTCCTAGCCAGAGCAATAAGACAAGAGAAAGACATACAAGGAATCCAAATAGGGAAGGAAGAAGTCAAAATATACCTATTCGCAGATGATATGATAATATACATAGAGAACCCCAAAAACTCCACAGAAAAACTAATTCAACTAATCAATCAATTTAGTAATGTAGCAGGATACAAAATCAACACACAAAAATCAGTAGCCTTCCTATACACAAACAATAAATCTGAAGAAAAAGAAATCAAGAAAACCATCCCTTTTATTATTGAAACCGCAACAACAACAACAACAAAAAAACAAATACTTGGGAATAAACCTAACAAACGAGGTAAAGGACCTATACAAAGAAAACTATAAAACACTGTTAAAAGAAATAGAAGACACAAAGAAATGGAAAGACATCCCTTGCTCATGGATTGGAAGAATTAACATTATCAAAATGGGCATCCTACCAAAAGCAATATACAGATTCAATGCTATTCCAATGAAAATTTCAATGACATTCTTCAAAGAAATAGATCAATTATTGATGAAATTCATATGGAATCACCAAAAACCCCAAATAGCCAAAGCTCTTCTGAAAAAAAAAAAAAAAAAAGAAGAGAAAAGAAGAGAATGGAGGCACATATGCAAAGACTTCAAACTATACTACAAAGCCATAATCATCAAAACTGCATGGTATTGGCAACAAGAACAGACACACAGACCAATGGAATCGAATAGAAAATCGAGAAATAAACCCACAGATTTATGGTCAACTGAGAAATATTTGACAAATATTTGCTTTCAGGTTTTCACCATTGAGAATGATATTGGCTATGGGCTTGTCATATATGGCCTATATGATGTTGAGGTATGTTCCT